GTGTGTGTGTGTGTGTGTGTGTGTGGCCAGCTCAGCCCACCAGGGGGCGGGGCTGGTTGGCATGTGGTGCTGGGGGATTGAACCGCGGTCCCTGTGCTTTTTTGCTAAGCTTGTTCTAAGTAGGTGCTTTAGACCACTGAGCCATCTCCCCAGCCCCAGTTTTTAAAATTTTAAACATTCACTATATCTTTTACTGTAGTCTAGAGAACTTTAGCAACTTTATTATGTGTTAAGTTCCTTTTTAAAAAGTAATTGTTCCTTTCTTACAGTGGCTGTTGCTAAAACCCTTCCTCTAAATGGGCAGTGTGTGGTGGCACACACCTGTAATCCCAGTGCTTGAGAGGCTGAGGCAGGAGCATTGCCAGGAGTTCAAGGCCAGCCTGATCTGCCGTGAGACTTTGTCTCAGTCAGTCAATTAATCAGTCAATAAAGTTCATGTGTGGAAATTTGGATTATATTTGGTTTTGTAGTAGGAAATTCAAAATGGTTATTCTCTATACAGTGTTTTATTCTGTCCCATAAAAAGAAGTCTGAAAATAGGTTCTCCAGCTACTATGATAACTTTTAAAAAATTTTTTTTTACCTTTTATTATTATTATTATTTGACTGAAGAGCCCCACCCCCACCCCCAAACCAAGGATTGAACTCAGGCCCTTGTGCTTGCCAGGCAAGCTATTATTCTACTAAGCTATCTCCCTGGCTATTATTATTATTATTATTATTATTATTATTATTATTATTTGGTACAGGGTCTTGCTACACAGCTCACACTGTTTCAGCCTCCCAAGCACTGGGATTATAGGCATGTGCCACCATGCCCTGATTTGATGGTAGGGCTCTGGGGCCAGCATGACATACATAACCAGGAATTGAACCTGGGTCCTTGTACTTGCCAGGCAGGCACTTAGACTGCTGAGCTATCTCCCCAGCCCAGTAATAACTGAAGAGTCTTCAAAAACCTATGGTGAGGTCGGGGACATAGCTCACTCAGCAGCATAGTGCCTGAGAAAGTGCCTGGCAAGTGCAAGGTCTTCAGTTCAATTCCCAGTGCCAACTAAAGGAAAAAAAGAAGAGACTTCTTCATAATTGGGTGTCATGGTGCATACCTGTGATCCCAGGACTTGGAAGACTAAAGCAGAAGGATCACTGGAAGTTTGAGGCCAACCTGGGCTACACAGTGAGTTCAAGGCCAGCTTGGACTACCAAAAAAAAAAAAAAAAAAATTAAACAGGGCCAGCAGTAAATAAATAGGTGCGGAGCCTGCCTAGCAATCGAGAGGCCCTGAGTTTGATTCCTGGGACCAAAAATAAACAACCAAGAACCAAAACTATGATGAGCCCATGATGAAATTCGTTCTTTTTATGGGGAGCAGACACCCAAGCAAAGCATCTTAAAGGAGGAAAGCTGGATCGTGCTCCCAGTTCAGGCCCTGGCTGACTGGCTGCACTGCTCTTCTGTCTGTGGTAGGCAGAAGAGTGGGGGGAGCAGCTCCCCACCCATGGCAGCCAGGAAGCAGAGGGCAAGGAATACCCAGAGTGGAAGAGCCCCCGTTTCCGTCACCCCTTGCTGGGAGCACACTTCACTCCGACCTCAAGGATGAGTTAAAGCCCTTAGGACCCAGTTTTCTCTGCCCCACCCCTGAGCACTGTTGCAGAGGGGATTGAGGCCTCAAAGCACTGGTCTTTGGGGAACACTCCATTTCAAGTCTGTAGCAACTGCCCAGAAATACTCTATACTCTGCTCACACCTCACTGCGTGGAACTCGGCTGCATGGCCACATGGGCTGGAAGAGAGGCTGGGAGCACACACGGTGTTCTGGCTGATGCATGGCCACGTAAAGCATTTCAGTGAAGAGCAGAAGAATGAATATTGAGTGGTGGCCTTTGATCTGTGTCACAGCCTGTTTTGAATAAGAGGAATAAGCAGGGATATGGCTCAGTGGTACAGGAGCCTACCTGGCAAGCACAAGGGCCTAAGGTCAATTCCCAGTACAAAAAAAAATAGGAGAGGACTAATCAAGCAAATACTGCTGTGATAGTGGGTTAAAAAACTTAGAGGTGTTTTGGTCTAGAGTGACCTTTTCATTATACAGTTAGTTGTAAAGGAGTTTGAAGTACAGTGCTTTCATTTAATTGCCAAATATTTTGAGTATAGCTAAACTTTTGACTACACCTTTTTTGTTGCTGATTTGGCTTGCTGTGATTTGTTTCAGTTTTTTGACACAGTCTCACTTTGTTATACAGGCTGGCTCTGAACTCTCTGTAGCTCAAGCTGGCCTTGAACTCACAGCAGTCCTCCTGCCTCAGTGCACGCGCACATACACACACACACACACATTTGCTGGGATTTCAGGTATGCCCTAGTCATGCCTAGCTCAAAACCTGTTTTGTTTGTTTGTTTGTGTGTTTGTTTTTGAGAGAGGGAGAGTGAGGGGGTGTTACTGTGTAGTTCAGGCTGGCCTTTAGTTCACTATGTAGCCTAGGCTGGCCTCGAACTTCCTCCTGTCTCTGCCTCTGGAGTGCTGGGATTATAGATACGTGCCATCACGCCTGGCCTGAGGTCTGCCTGAAATTCTTATTTCTGAGTCATTCCTCATTTGAATTTCAACAGGAATCGATGTTAAGAAGCTCTTATCTTTTTAAGCACTAATTCATGGCTTTCTTTATAGATATATGGCAGCGTGTGGGAGAAATTACACCGGGCCTTTGCCATTTGGAGTGGCTTCGGTATGACCCTGACTGGCGTTCACACCTGTGGAGATTACATGTTCAGTGGCCACACAGTCGTCCTAACTATGTTGAATTTCTTTGTCACTGAGTGTGAGTATCTCCCTTGTGCGGCTGTGCATGTTAGCCAACTCCTACAGAAGAGGCTGTGGGGAAGAAGAGGGTGTGAAGTCCTGTGACTAATGAGTGCAGAATCTTGACTAAGAGCCTTGGAAGGAATGTGTTTTTAAAATGACCTTTCTGTCCATTTTGTAGATACACCAAGAAGCTGGAACTTCCTGCACACCCTGTCCTGGGTTCTCAATCTCTTTGGGATCTTCTTCATCCTGGCTGCCCATGAACATTACTCCATCGATGTGTTCATAGCCTTTTACATCACAACGAGGCTCTTTCTGTACTACCACACTCTAGCCAACACCAGGGCTTACCACCAGAGCAGGAGAGCAAGAATTTGGTTTCCCATGTTTTCTTTTTTTGAATGTAACGTTAACGGCACAGTACCTAATGAATATTGTTGGCCATTTTCAAAACCAGCAATAATGAAAAGACTAATTGGCTGAAGTTATCTTTGTAATGAGTTGTGATTAAGTATACAGTAGGTGTTGAATAACTTTGCTTTTTCTTGTTAGGTTGTTCTTGGATGTGTTGTGTATTGACAGAGTTCCCAGTTCTGAGCAAGGGTATGATTGTAAAAAGCAAGGAAGAACAATGAAGAATCCTTGCCTGGCCTTTTAAACAGAATGCTTAAGTATTGGTTTTCTGCCCCTTCATTTTAAGAAGATTCACATAATAGAGTGAAGTCAGGCCATTGCCCTTATCGCTGAGTATTTGTTTATTGAACTTAAGCAAGTTAGCACAAGCAATTTGTTTGTTGGGGGATTTTTATGAATTTCCAGCAGTGCGCTAGTTAAGAAATGGTATTTTTTGAAGCTTCTTATCTTCAAAAGAAAAAAACGTACTGAGTGAGCAATACTTGTTCTTTGTACTAATCTTTGTTTGTGCCTGAAAAGTAATTTGTTCTATTGACAAATATGTTTGGCCTTCTGAATTATCTTTAAGAAAGAACACTGAGCATACACCATGCCTGAAATAAGGGGACGAAAGGGGCTGTCCGGGAGGTGCCAGTGCTGAGGAGGTGTCCCAGGCCTTCTTGTGGATGTGGATGTAGGGCTGGCATTTTTCACCAAAGATGCAGCAAAAGATGCAGCTCATATTTGTTCTGAGGGCTCAGTATGAATGTCGGCAAATAGTCTTGAGGGAAAATATGTCTGCATTCATGAAATGATGAATAATTTTAGTGGTATAGGGCCAGCGAGATAGCTCAGCAGTCTAAAGCACCTGCTTAGGCATGCGTAGGCAGGCACAGGGGACTGCAGTCCCATCCCTGGCACCACATGCTGCACCAGTCCTGCCCTCAGGGTGGGTTGAACCAACAACAACAAAAAATTTAGTGGTACAGGTATCTGGAATAACTGTGCTATCATTGTTAGGCCGATGTCAGCCCAATTTAATGCTTGTTTAAGTGATGTTCTTTGATAAGCCAAATAGGAGTGTTTTACCAGATGGCAGTAAGTAGGGAAGTAAGCATGCAAAGAAAAGCAACAAGTAACTAATTGTGAGAACAGTGTTAACTTTTAAAATTTTTGAAATTTCTCATTCTTGATCGTCAGTAAACAGTATGAGACCTGTTTGGATTAAAAAAAAAAGCTTTGTCACTTTTCGTGAAAAAAAAAAAAAAACTGTACATACATTCTTTCTGCATAGTCTTAATTTGCCAGTGAGGAAAAATACAGCCTAACTGCTGTTTACAACACTAGAAATTTAATATCTTAAGTAAATTCAATGTCTCACCTCTGTGAGAACATTTGTCACTTTATTTTTAATGATTGTTTTTTACATAGAAGTATGAAAGAGTGGGTTGTAGAATTGGAAGTTGACCCCAACTGATGAACTTAGCCACTTAGAATATTCATTGTGTAGTTTTTACATTCCATTTCTAACAAGTAGTTAGCAGAGGTGCTGACATACCGAGGCCTAAAATTAGGCCGCAGAAAAAGCCTGCTCCTTCCTTATCTGGGTGAAATATTTCATTTTGCACTTTGAGTCATAGTTCTACTCCTGTATAAGCTACAGAGGATCCTGAATGAATTGGGTAGGAAAGGAGCGCTATGGGAAGATGTTTCAGCTGCTGCTGAGTGACCCTAATTTGAGTCTGTTCTGAACATAATTTACTTCTCACTTGAGAAAAGATACAAAATACCAACATGTTATCAAAAGAAATTGTATAATCAAGAAGGGTGAAGGATATTTCCCATGCTCCTTAGAGTGGTTTGACCTTTGAGGTCAGAAATTTTGTTACTGACCTCTTTATCCCCTGGAATGACAGAACAGGGCAGAATTAAGCAGGGGAGGGACTGATGTTGGCTTTCGGTACTATGTTCCCAGGAAGTCTGTGGCAATATTAATTTTAAAATATTAAATGGCTATTAATGGTAAATATCTTCTTTCATATGGATTCCATTGTAGGAAAAGCTAGAAAAAATATAATGGTAGCTAAATTTGCAGAGCTTTTGACAGTGAGAGTGCCTAACAGACTGCAGTGATAACACTTTTCAAGTTTGCCTTTACTCCGTTTAAGAAAAAAAGCTAAGCTAGATTTATAATTTATTGTTTTAACTATCATAAGGCAGTGTTTACATAAATTAATCATCTGTAGATCTTTCTTGGAAATCAAGACAAAATTATTTCAGTCATTTACAAACACAAGCACATATTTTAGTCTTTTTTTTTTTTTTAGTCATTTTTGTTTTGTCCAGAAATTATCAAAAAAAATTTTTTGTGCTTTTTTTCTTGTTAAAATCCTAACCATAGTAAAGATAGACTCTGCATTTGCATTTGGGTGTGAGTGTGGCTGGGTGAGGAAGCTGCAGGCCACGCAGCTACCTTTTTCCCCCCTAGCCACAGTAGGTTCTGACATTGAAGATTTGTGAAAGACCTGTTTCCTTGAGAGCTTAGTACAGAGGGAACTGAAAGGGTTCGGTGTGAAGATGCAAACGGGAGATTTTATTGGCAGTCCTAGACGCATTGTGAATCCAGGGCAGTGTTGCCTTTTTTTTTTTTTTTTTTTTTAAGGATTTTGAAGGAGGCCAGTTTGATGTAAGCATCAGACAGTTTGGGGCAACTTCTTGTGCCTGTGCCGAATTCTCAACACGGTATCCCCTCCATGGTTCTCTCAGGCAGAGTTGCAAGAAGAGAAACACAGCTTCCCTATGTCGGCTCTGTTTATTAATATCCTTCCCACAGAGCTGTGAGCCTGACCTTAGTCCCACTCAGTTAACCAAATGTGGGCCGCCACCAACAGCATACGCCTTGACAGAGCTGCGATCTGTCCTGCTATCCTTGCCTGCGGGTTAGGACTAACAGTCCCAGCACCCCTGTAATTTATAAATGGGGAACAGAGGAGCTGCATCCTTCCATAGCTGGTAAGAAGCAGTCTGTTGGAGGAACACTGATATAGAAGGCATTACTCAGATACTTCTGAACTCCTATTCCTAACACTAACCTCCTTTTGACTGTATTCAGCAAAAGGCAATTTCAAGGGTTCTAGACCCAAATACTTAAGGATGTTAGACACGGTCTTGCTTGAAGTCTGATTAATAAATTTGCCTTTTTGGAGACTACCATTATCCCATACTAAGAGTAATTGCAGTGAAGTCATCTGTCAGTTCTTGAAGGTATTCAGGCATTTGAGACAAAGAAGCACTTGTAGAATAGACCATTTGCTTTTTAAAAACAATGTCGGTTTCATTTAGACAATTTCAAAGCCAACAAAGTGTGTCAGCTTTAATGGCAACTTTAGCGGCCGGTTAACAGTATTTGGTATCTGTAGAGTTTATCCTGAGCCTGGGGTGCAGGCCCGCGCCTGTGACCCCAGCACTGGGACTCAGGCAGGAGCAGGGTGAGTTCAAGGCCAGCCCGGGCTGCATAGTGAAACCCTACCTCAGAGAAACAAGTTCAGCCTGAATGACCCTTGTGCTACCAGTTGCAGAATTGTCAGGTAACAGGTCAGAGACTTGGGGTAACCAGTGAGAATGGAAGAGGTCCGGTGGATTTGTGTTTGTTTCCTGTCGTGAGTTCGCCTCCCCTCGGACTTGGGCTGAGACAAATGCACCAAGTGAATAGCACTCATTTCAGAGAACTCACAAGTCACTAAATCCTTTGTGTCAAATTCCGTGCTGGAATCTGTAAGCCACGATCTCGGCTAACATTAAGTTGCTTTATAAAATACAGTCTACTCCATACTAACCTCAGGACTCGAGGTAGGCGGTGGGGCGAAGCCGGCAGGGGGAACACTGTGACCTCGCCGCGCCTCATGCGCACTGCAGTTGGGAGAACCCGACTCGCACGCAGCCTAGTGCGCCTGTCAGTGAACAGAGTCTCAAAATGTTCGTAGATTTTTCCATTCCGAGAATCCATGATGTGTTAGAGCAACGAAGTGTTTCTAATATGGAAAAGGAAATGCAGAGTGGGAAGCACAGGGAGCTTGTACTGAGCAGCTGTGTGAGCTGAGGATTCTGCCCGGGACGTGCTCTGCCCACAGAGAAACTAGTATTACTTATGCTGTGACAGTGGTAGCCATACCTTAAGTACAGCACTGTATATAAGTAAATATCTTGATTCTAAATTAAATTCAGATTTAACTAATATATATTATTTTATATCTTTGTTGTATTAAAAT